TATATATATATATATAAATTAAACGTTCTTCCGAAGCGGGCGACGGGACTTCACTTCCGGCGACCGACAGCTTCTTACGGGCAATCTCCCCAAACTCTTTTTAGTTGCCGACAATGCAGTTGCTATAAAACAAACTGCACTATTAGTAGACTCTTCTCCGCAAATCCAGATAATATAATTTGAAGTAATTTGCAAAAAATTACGGTTCTGGTTATAATCCTTCTAAGACGGGCGAATGAAAAGCACATACTGCAAGTTACGTCTGCGGATGGTAGACTCCTCTCCACCTCCTAAAAGTAGCTCCCTCTGCAAATTAAGAGAATACTTCCCATATAAAAAATTTTACGTGGAGAAAAATAAAAATCATGTCAAAATTAAGTTACAAAAAAGAGCAAAAATTCCCACCTCTTCCCGAGCAGCTGCTCTTATGTTGTCTTTCGCTTGCAAGTTTGCATTTCTCAAGCTCAAGTGCAATCTGGAAAGAAATAATGCAAAAAAAGAATATATACAAAAGAAAAAAAAATTGACCACCACACAAATAAAAAATGTAAATAACAAATAAAATTGTTCACAATATCAAATGAGCTTATTAAAGAAGGAAATTAACAATAAAAAGGCATGAGCTGTAACATATCATCATTTATTAGGAAGTACCAAAACCCACCCCTGGTATTGTTCTTTCCAAGAGTTCAACATTGTGTGGGCAGTCACTACAGCTTCTTCTGTGGGCAGTTGTTGAGCCAAAAGATCAAGCCTAAACTGAAGTGATCTAAGCAATGCCAGGCCATCCTGTGCAGCTCCATTGAGTCTAGGGAGAGAATTCCGGTCCTGAATACCCTTTCCAGATTTCCCACAACAATGAATTTCTTTTATGTTGTCCTGAATGTGATTCACAGTTTGATCCCATGTCCTTTTCACATCCTCAACAGCAAGTGAAACTTCGTCCATTACAGCCTATAAATGTAGCAAAAATAAGCAAGCCATCAAGAGGACAGCCCAAACCCCATGCTCATATAGTAAAATGTAGGGAAGCTCGCATACATACAACACAATTCTTTGTATTGACATATCAAAAGTTTGATAGTTAAACTTATAAAACCTTGTTGTCATAAACCTATGCATGAAAATGTATATTTCACTTTTAGAAAGATAGTGATTGTGGTATTTTTTATGTGATGTTAAAGAGTTGAGTGGCATGCATGCAAATATAAATGTTTGGGCATCAGATATGTAAATACACAAGATTTGTGTGGTATGTATATAAACACGCTTAAAATGTATTCTTGGAATAAACACATACATATTGAATTTCCAAAGAGACGATAATCACACTCAATTTCAGGGCAGATCACCGTCAAAGATTTTTTAAATGCAAATTAATGCTGTGAAATGAATTCAATGTAAATACAGAGAAGATATTTAAAATGCAAATCATGCCATTCATGACGTTACGGCTCTTCATCAATAAAATTTAAGAAACGTTATTTGTTATCTCCAATATAGACTTCATCAAGTGAAAGCAATAATAATAATAATAATAATAAATACATCAAAATATAGTGTAGAACCTAGCAGCACATACACTTTATCTTTGGTTACTACTTGAACCATCTTGTATTGTTATCTTAAAAGCCACAATAACAAATTCTAACAAAATAATTAAATTAATAACAACAACTTCCTCATTTAACCCACTGCTAGTTGCTAACTCTTCATTTCTTAATTTCTCAACAAGTATATTAAGCAATTTTTTTCTCATAAAATATCTCTTATTTTGCACGAAAAATCCAGCAATATTTATAAAATTGTAGGCTGCTTTGAAAAAGATGCAATTTGTAAATGATTTTTAGCCAAAAAACAGCTTTTGTATACCTGCATTGTGTGATGTTAGCATCCGCTATTTTTGTAAGCTCTTTGCAGTTTGCACCATCACAGTGTTCGAATTATAATCTACATATTTTGCTCCTAATTTAAGATCTATTTGAATGTCATCCTGAATGATTTCTTTAAAAATTTATTTGCAATTTTTAATATAAATATCACCAATGATAACTTTAGCTTCAACCACATTTATTTTTTAGATCTCTCTCAAAGAAATTGGCTAGACTCTTAATTTTAGCTAGAGAAATATAAACACAAACAGCAGGGTTGATAAAGTCATGATCTATTTAATAATGAAAACTTTTTTTACTGAAGTGTAATCCCAACTATGCAAGTTAAAATTGGTTACAATAGCTTGGAATTTGAAAATTTCAAATCAATCAGAATAATAATTGATTTAAACAACAATACCATACACCATATTTTTCTATAATAACAATTGTGCTCATTCATTTGATGCTATCAATTAACAAAAATCAAATCAATTAGTTTATTATCAAAGTAAAAAATATTTTGGTAGCAATTAGCAATTCTTAGGCAGTTAAGTAATAAAGCTAAAAAAAATTGTCAAAATTAGAGAAACATATACCTTAATAAAAGATCTAAGAAAGATTAACTGAGAGAATGAGAGGAAAGTATGACCGCAATCTAACAACATAAAATCTAAAGATAAGTTAAATTGTTAAAAATAGGATATAAGAGAAAATGAAAGAATAAATGTAAAAAAAAAAGAACAACAATCGATTGAGAGCTAGTGAAGTTTGTGAATTGCGACGTGCACTTATGAAATCTAAGCGAATGATGAGTTGAGCCGTCAAAAGTAGTCTTTATTTGCATTTCTAAAAATCTGACATATGTTGGGTCGTCAATGACGATGCTACGAACAAGGAGAGCTAATGAGAGTGTGATTAGCATCTGCGACTATGAGTTAAGACTTTCATACCCCGGGCCCAAACAGATGATACACCCTGACAACGTAGGGCATAATGAAATAAATTGAACATGTTTTATATTGACAAAAGAAAAGATAGTATGCTAACAATTATAAAAGAGGTTTTTACTTGGCAGGCTGACATCCACCTATAAGTTTAAAAATAACAAACTGATAAGCCAATGTTTTAATATTTCATTCCAACCACCCAAAACATCAAAACCCTTCGTTTCAACTACCAAAACGCACGCCACTCGCACAATGTCTCCTCTGTAAAGTTTGTTGTCGATTCCGTCTCCCTCCATCGTCGTCGTCTCACAGGTATGCCGAACTCCGTATACGTCGTCTAAGAGGAACCCCTTCCATCTGAGAACCCGCCATTTCCCCTTTCCCGCCATCCATCTACAACCAGGAACCGAAGACCTCTGAAACAATCCCATCTTTCTCTTCTTCTTCCCCTTCCGCCCTCGCTGAGCTTCTTCTTTCCCTTCCCCCTACCTTTACTGAGAAACTCATAATGCAGCCGCTGCTAGAGCATGAAAGGAGGCAAATGAAGGTTTTCTCCTGTAAATTTATCTCCAACAGAATTTGTAAATCTGAGAGTTATGACAAGATGGAATAGAAATGAGATTTAAGATTTTGTAGGATTTATAGTTGTCCTTTTTACTGTTTGACAGGATTAACGTTGTTTCTCTTACAATGACGAAAGGGACACTGCATAATGAATGAATGATGAATATAACTGTTTGGCGATCAATTCTCCTCCGCCTTCCGCCTTCCAGCTTAATTACCTTGTGGACCTTCCGGTGGCAGCAGTTGAAGCATTTGATCTGAAGATATGAAGTTCATACCATAAAGAGTATATTTCTTATCTTAAAGCAATTTGCAAGTTGTTGGGTTGTTTTGTGAAAATAACTTCTGATTTATGCAGTCTTCTTGTTGTCCGGCAGAAAATAGGATGTTCGAGATGTTTTTTTCTGTATAATTTCAAATGGAAATCATCAAAAAATTTGTCTTGAAGCAAAAGGAAAGTTCAATATGGGAAGCAAATTTATTGTCTAAAACAATTCTAAGGAGGAAACAATAAGCCGTCTACAATTCTGATAGACTTTGTTCTTTGCCTGTATGAATTTAGCAACCATTGTTTTATCCTCATATTGTTTCTTTTTTTTTTTTTTTTTGCAGATTAATCATTAGCATGAAAACTTTTCTTAGTTCTATTTCTTGATTCTTTTTTTTACTCATTGGCACCAATATATTGCCACCACTTACATCAAGCATTTCAAGTTTCCAACTGCTCGGTGTTTGTGTTGGTAGTCTTTCTCTTCTTCAATAACATATAAGCTTTGGTGTCGTTATGTAGCACCCAGTTAGTCAGGGAAATAAATTGTGTGATTTCTGCAAAATTTATATTTTGAACTATCCAGTGAGCATCATAACCCATGAAATAGGTCCGCATCGCAAATATAGAAATTGAAGCATAATCTAATTTTAGTAAAATATTTTCTTTGGACGGGTAAACGAAAATTCACTAATATTTTCATAATTGTATTTCTTTGTCTCTATGTCGATAATTTGAAACTCACTGTCACACGATGATGAAATAGTCGCGTACTATCATTCAAGCTTTGATGGTGTTAGCAGATACACATACGAGCTTGATAAATATATCTTGATTCTTTTTTCTACTCATTGGCACCAATATATTGCCACCACTTACATCAAGCATTTCAAGTTTCCAACTGCTCGGTGTTTGTGTTGGTAGTCTTTCTCTTCTTCAATAACATATAAGCTTTGGTGTCGTTATGTAGCACCCAGTTAGTCAGGGAAATAAATTGTGTGATTTCTGCAAAATTTATATTTTGAACAATCCAGTGAGCATCAGAACCCATGAAATAGGTCTGCATTGCAAATATAGAAGTTGAAGCATAATTTGATTTTAGTAAAATATTTTCTGTAAAGGAAAATTCACTAATATTTTCATGATTGTATTTCTCTGTCTCTATGTAGGTAATTTGAAACTCACTATCACACGGTGATGAAATGGTCGTGTATTATCATTCAAGCTTTGATGGTGTTAGCAGATAAACATATGAGCTTGATAAATATATCAATGGGCAGTTGATGAGCAAAATATCTAATAAGATGTCTTTAGAGGTTGACTCTCTAAATTAAAGATTCAACGAGTTTGAGACAATTTATTCAAAAACTGGTCATTTCTGAGAATTTTGTGATGAAGTTTAGGGCAAGTGATAGAAAAAGAATTGTCACGCTATGCTCTTACGATGGTTGTCCATGGAAAGTGAGAGTTTCAGCTTGGGCGGATGAGCAAACATTTGAAATAGGGAAAATCGAAGGCTTATATTCGTGCCAAGGTGTGAATAGTGTTGGTAACAAACAAGCAACATCCATATGGGTGGCTAATGAAATACAAGAAATAGTGAAAAACTTATCCAATTATGACCAAAACAAATCAATTCTGCTTTGGAAAATAAGTACGGGTTAACACTATCATATATTAAGTTATGAAAATCTAGGCAGTTAGCGCGGGGATCAAGTATTTGGAGTAGTTGATGATAGTTTCAATTGTGTACCTACACTGTACGCTGAGCTTGTTAAAAGGAACTCGGTTTCTCACATTACATTTGATTACAATGACACTGATTAGGCGTTTGAGAGAATTACATCACTTTTTAGGGTGTGGATTGATGGGTTCCTAGCTAGTTGAAGACATCTCGTGGGGCTAGATGCATATCATTTAAAATTCAAATATTTAGGAGTGTTGCTTTCAGCCAATGCCTTGGATGAGAATAATTGATTTTTTACAATTGCATTTACAGTTGTTGAGCTCGAGTCGAAGAAATATTGGGAATGATTTTTGAGGCATTTAGCTTTATCTTTTGAGCTTGAAGTTGAGCCATTAGGATTTATCTCAGATAAGGAAGAGGGGTTGGTTGAGGCACTTAGGGGTGAATTTCCTAATGATGAGCATAGGGTTTTCAAGTGTCATTTGTGGAAAAATATTTTAAAATATCACCATTTTCATGATAGCAAGCGAATTCGACACACTGTTTGGTTCGCTGCAAATGCATATATTAGATCAAAATTTAATAAAAAGTTTCAGGGAAGTTGAAGTCAAGCCAGGGAAGTGTTGTATTAGTTTCCACAACTGAGAACTACATAAGAAAATTAACTACAAAAAAGATTAGTTCGTTATCAGAAATTCAACAACATTAAAGGTCGAGGTCGAGAGAGATAAAAAACGACATGAAGTTGATATCTAACAAAAAGAGTGCTCTTACCTTTTGTTTATTTATCTGTTTGAAAATTATCTACACAAATTAGTTGTCAATATTATAGTAGATAAATTAAATGACATAATTGACCACTAATAAAGTTGTTTTGATACCTCATTTTTTTTCTTATCAGTGGCAGGCAACATTGGCTTATTTCACGATTGGATGGTGTTTTTGTTACCACCGGAGGTTTTCCTCCGAGCAATAAAATGTGCTAGCAAACTCCTTAAGAGTTTCACTAAATATATAGTGATTCTAATTTCTTTTTTCTTGCAGGGCAATGTGCTTGATTGACTTTGGGATTCAAATTCATCGAGACGACAAGTTAAATGTTAACCAAAATCAATTGTTGGATAAGCTAGTTATCTCAAACAGCGCACAGATGAATAAAAAGAAAAAAAAGATCAACAAAAAAATTTGCATAAGAAAAGGAACTTTGAGTTTTCTGCATTCAAAGAGCCTGTTTTATTTGTTTGCTATCTATGAAAAAATTATGTATATGTATTAAAAAGGCATTGGGTGGATGTAGTGAAGAACATCGATGTGTCGATTCATAGAAATATATATGGAACCTGATTATATATATTTTTGCATGAATCACTTTCAAAAATTAAAACTTCTGTCGGGGTGGATGAGATGAATCCAAAGAAAGAAGAAACTGAAGCATATAAAGGATGAGGAGACGGGAGCCATAGAAGCGGTGAACGAAGCAAATGGCAAAGAAGCAGTTCCAAATAAAACTTCTAAGATGAAAATGGAACATCGAAAATCAGGAAAAGGCAATGTCGAAAGAGTGATCGATTTGTAATTTTTATATCTTTTTTTTATGTTTGTTTTTTGTTTCTAGATGGTCTTAATTGTATTGTATCCCGAGAAATCATGATTCCCTATTGTTTCAGATTTGAGATTTTTTTTTTTGTTCTAGTGTTTGTAATTCAATCATTTGAGTTTATCTTACATTTTTTTTTTCTTTGAGACTCATATTTTTTTGTGTACTTTTAACATGGAAGCTTTTATTTGAAATATAAAAGATGTTTGAGCAATCGATATTAACATAGCCTCGACTCATTGTTATAATCAGCAATAGTGAACATTTCTTCTCCTTCCTGATCTAGCAGTGAATTTATAATTTGTTGGAGAAGTTGAAGAATTGAGATAAGAGAGTGTTCGTTTTGTAATGAGTAGACTTTAAGGTTTATGTACTAAAGAACATTACTTTTTTGTAGACGAATTTATGATTTGGGCTGTAAATACTACAGTTTTGTGTCAGATATATACCAAAAATACAGTCTCTTAAAAATGATAACCATAAATACTGCCGAACAGTAAAAATAAGGACTAAAAATCCTACAGAATCTTAGATCCCGTTTCTCTTCCTTCTTGCCTTAACTCTCGGATTTCGGAGAAATTGCAAAGCTGCGCGAAGAGGGGTGGGAGAAAGAGGGGAGAAAGATAGGATTTTTTATGGTCTTTTTATGCTACATCCAAAAAGTTGTCTTCTAGGAAGCTGTAGCAGCAACTGCTAACTCCGATAGTGGCAGAAGGGAAAGAAGAAGAAGAGTTTCGAAGGACTTTCGGACGCAGCAATCCAAAAGTTTTTTAGCAAGCCATTGCAGCGACTGCCTACTCCGACAATGGCGGAAGGGGAAGTATAAGAGAAAGATGAGAGTGTCGGGGAGGCAGCGACCCGAGCGAATAAACATAATGTGGAGACAGCGGCCCGATGAATAGGTGTGTCGTGGAGACGATGACCGAAAAGATTAGGCATGACATGGAAACAACAGTCCAAAAGAATGAGTATTCAGAGAAGTCAGCGACCCGAAAGGGTGAGCATGTCATGAATAGAGCGGCGTACAGTGGCTTGACAGATGGGTTTGTCATGCAGACAATGACCTAAGATGGTGGGTGTGTCGTAGAGGCAGCAACCCCTAAGAATGGGTGTGTCATGAAGACAGTAATTCGAAAAAGTCCCAAAAGTTGTGTATGTCGTGAAGGAAGTGACCTGAAAGAATAGACATGTCGTGGAGACAGCAGCCCAAAAGATTAGTATATCGTGAAGTTAGTGATCTGATAGATGTGTCGTAGAGACAGCGACCCAAAAAATGGGTGTGTCATACAGACAGTGACTCGAAAAGATGGGCGTGTCATGGAAGCAGGGACCCAAAGATCGTGTATGTCGTGAAGAAAGTGACCCGAAAGAATAAACATGTCGTGGAGACAACGGCCCGAATGGTGAGTATATCGTGAAGGCAGTGACACGAAAAAATGGGTATGTCATGGAGCTAGTGACCGAATGAATGGATGTGTCATGGAGAGTCATGGAGGCAGTGACCTCAAATGATGGGCGTGCGTATCATGGAGGCAGCGGCCCGAATAATGGATATGTAGTGGAGGTAGTAACCTGAAAATGATGATGATTCTCATTGAGGAAAATCATATAAATGGGGTGTGTGTATGAATGGACACTCAAAATACAACTCAGGTATGTGATAATTATTATGTAAGATCTCATACAAGACACGTAGCAAGAGAAGTATCGTGTTCGGTCACCTAGGGTATAGGACACCATTGAGGAGAATTACACATTGTCCCAATAAAAACCAAACACATATGCAAATGATAAGCACATATAGGGTATAGTGCACAATGCAAGAAAGCAATCAAACACTAATGCACACGCGAAATATACACTACGCAAGTGATAGGTCGACCGAGGCAAGAAACCAATTGGATCAAAGGGTCGGCCGATCGAACTAAAGTGATCGGTCAACCTTGACGAGGCAGCCAGTCGGACCAAAGTAGTCAGTCGACTGGGCCGAGGCGGCAGATCAAGGCAATGTGCTAAGCTAACCGGGTTGGGACTGCCGATCAAGGCAAAAAGTGATGTAGACTGGGCTAGAACGGCCAGCCGAGACAAAAAGTGACTGAAGCTGTCAGTCAAGGCAAAAGTGATGCTGATCGGATCGGGGCAACCAGTCTAGGCAGAAAGTGATATCGATTTGGCAAGAGCAGTCAATCGAGGCAAAAGTGTGATGCATGAAATGCAACAATATATGGTGCAAATGATCCAAACAATAGTGAGTCATATTCATGCTAACGATCTCACATAAACGCCTAAGGTTTTAGCTCTTGGATGTGCGACATAACTGTCTACTGCTTAGACAAGGCATATTGGGAGCTTCACCTTCGGATCTCATAAAATGAAAATTTTCACGACATTGTGGAATGAGTTAGCTATAAAGTTTTTTACATTTCACAACTCCTCATGATTTTGCAACAAAACTTTTCTCTTATTGCAAAATCCAAACATCTCAACCCCTCCAAGGAAGATTGGGGAAAGTCAAAGCAAAGGGTAATTGACATTTCAACCCACTAGGATTTATGTATAGGGTCGCAAAAGGAGATCGCTCCGCTCAGCATAGGATTTGACCACATATGGGATTCCTAACATAGGGCTTCCTCTAGAAAATCAACAGTCAATCCAATGAAGTGTGATCGCGCCGACTAGTGTCAGTCTGTCAACTCGTCCCGTGTGGGCAACCGGACCCACAACGTCTAGCCTAAACTAATCCTAGGGCTAGCTAAGAAAGAAAAACACAGGAATTGAAGAGGTTATACCGTGGCGATGGTTACTCAATGTCCGGCGAAGCCCGAGAAGAAACTCTGCCAAAAAAGAGAGAGGAGACACCCACTTTTTTTTTCCAAGAATGAAGAAGCTCTCCCCTCAAGGAGATTCCAACGAACGTCACGAATTCACCAGCGGTAGATGTCCGTACCGCGCGCCGAAGTATCTCGCGAGAGCTTTGTTAGGGGGGGAGCCCGATCTGGGAGGAGGCTGCGCTGTGAGCACGGCCGCCAACAAGTGACGGGGAGAAGCCGGCTGTTAGACAAGGCCGGTAGCGATAACAGCGGGAGAGGACGCGTTCGAGAGAGACCGAATGGGGGCTAGGGCACGCGAAGAAGAAAAAAGGGGAAGGCGACTCGGTGTGTGAGGCGACGCCGGCGGCGAGCCCGTTCGAAAACCGGGAGACGGCTCGGTTTAGCGAAAGAGGATGGCGAGGGGGCGTGCGTGCAGGGCTGTCGAAAGATTTGCTAGCGCTGCGTACTTGTTGGAGGGTTATATTCGGATTATATTTTTGTATAACATTCACCTATATTTATCGAAACTACAGAAGCGCGGAATTATGCAAGTTACAAAGAGATTAAAGAGGGGTATAATACAGATATAACTCCCTTATACCCTCAGATGCGTGCGTCTTACGTACGCAAATATTTTCCGTCAAAACGGCTCGTTGTTCGCGAAGCTCTTGTTGGGCTCGTTAAAAAGTTAAGATAAGTCGTCCGTGTTTGGCCGTTTTGACTCGAAATATTACAAGTTTATATACGTATAAGTAGTGTTTTAAAAAAAATCTAATTGGCTACCAAGCTACAAATATTTATAATCAATTAACATATTAATTAAGAAAATGAAATAAAAATTATTAAATAAAAATTATTAAATTAATAAATTAAATTCAAATGATGTTTTGATATAAATAATAATTTTTAAATCTTGCTCAAACTCTTGTCGTCTTATGGCTACGTGATTAGGGTTGTCCAAAAGGATTCTTTGTTCGTGAACAACTCGTGTTCGACTTGTCAAGCAAACCAGCCGAACACGAACACATTTTTTGAGCTCGAAATATAAACGAGCCGAACACGAGCTGCTCGGCTCATGTTCGGCTCGTTTACACCCCTACATGCGTGAGTTTTAAGCCTCTTTTTTTAATATTTATTATTTATAAGAATTGATTTCTGTGTAGCTGGCTCTTTGTACGAAATCATTGTTAAATGGGCATTTTTCTTACTCAAAATTGATGTTCAGATGCTCTCTCGCAGTTTTTTTCGTCATCTGAGTTTATCTGAAAAAATTCATGGATGAATGTGTCAATTTAAGTAAGTATCGCGTGTGGCGTAGCGAATGAGATCTCTTGACCTGATCGAAGTGATCCGTCAGACAAAATGCTGACCTGTCTTTGTCTAAGCAACTACCAAAGTATAACAGGAAGACCCCGGCCACCTGCCCATTCAATGCATGTCGGGAAGTCTGAAATGGATGTCTCGCACAACAAGAATCAACGTGTGCATCAAACAATGTTCCATAAAGCTCCAGCAGACATTCTACACTCACGACATCAGAAATTGATGTCAACATCATCGTTTACCTCTAGGGTTTACCCGTGAGATCACTCGGACGAGCTTATCTTTGTCGTCGAGCACGATCGGATTTACGTTTTCATGCACATGTTCGCACTCATCTGGCATGAATTTTTAAATTGAATAAAAAATACTTTTTTGCACTAAATGCATATGTTAGCACGATCGATTACTCTCCTCGGCTTGACCAAACACTACCACCAGTCGACCAGTTTAACCGACCCTTCTTCGACGATTGGTAGTCCATGCCATCCAATCGACCACTTTCATCGACTGATCTACTCCGCCGGTATGTTCAATTCGACCGACCCTCCTCCGTCGATTAGCCGCCTACACCGGTCTGATTAGTTTGACCAACCCTTCTTCGTCGATCGACCTCCCATGCTGGTTCGATTGATCACTTTCGTCATCTTGACTGATCAACTGCCATCCATTCTATTGGTTAAACATACCCTTCATCATCGATCAATTGCCCACGTCGGTCTGATCAACCACTCGTCGACTTAACTAATCAACTGCTACCATTCTGATTGATTTGGCCAACCCTCCTCTATCATCCTCCACGCCCATCCAATCAACAAATCATGACGGTTCGACCAACTTGTCGTCGCCGACCCGACCAACCCTCCTCCGTCGATCGACCTCCCATGTTGGTTTGATTGACCACTTTCGTCAGCTTGACTAATTGACCACCACCCATTTGATTGGTTAGACCTACCCTTCTTCGTCGATCGGTCGCCCACACCGGTCTGATATACCACTCGTCGACTTAACTAATCAACTGCCACCAATTTGATTGATTCGACCAACCCTCCTTTGATCAGCCATCCACACCCATCCAATCAAAAAATCCTGTCGACTCGACCAACCTGCCGCCACCGGCCCAACTTTGTCGATCGAATCCACTTGAATTGTGTATGATTGCATCTTCGTTTTATTGCTTGTATGAACACATTCACTCGTGCACCCCTCGGTGCACCTATGAGCGTATGCCCCCATACGCTCGTGGTGGGTCTGTGTCGTACTTAAGCATAACACTTGATGCATGTTCCCTGACATTTTCATGTCACTATGCATCATGTCCTTCGTGTTTGCATTTGCATTTGTGCACATTTTCCAGTTTGTTTGCATATTATACTGCATGTTTGCATGTCGTGTTAGTGATTTGCATTTGAGTTATTGTTCTAGCACACTCATCTTCGACACTCATATGTCTTTTTTGGGAACGATTTGCACTCTAAGCGTACCCTTTGTGTGGTTCTCCCCTAACAAGGATCGCACTCATCATGACATCTATGTGTCTTTCTCGAGTCACCTTTCCTCGCACACTCACCCTTCTTGAGGCACTGCCTTCTCGGCACACCCATTCACAAGTCACTGCCTCCTCGGCATACTCAACCCTACTTAGTCAATGCCTTTGTACACTCACCCTTCTGAGTCACTATTCCTTGCACACTAATCTACCATTCAGGAACTAATCTACCATTCATAAGTGGTGTTATGTCCTATTGTTATGTCGTCAGAAATAACTCAACACAAAAACTATCATAAAACCGTCGAAAACCATCGGTTATAGTGTTTTTTTTCCCGTAGTGGATGACAGGCTTTTCTTCTGACAACCTACTTTTCCTCCAACGACCGACTTATCTCCGACGACCGACATTTTTTAATCTAGAGAACTTTTCCCCCAAGGACGACATTTTTCCTTCGACGATGAAATTTTCCCTTGACGATCGACTTTTCCTCAAACCACGGACTTTTCCTCAAATATGAAAATTTTCCTCTGATGGCTGACTTCTTCCATCGACTGGCCACCAGAACCTGACATCTCCCCCAACAAAAGTCTCTAGAATGACAAATCTAAAAGATGACGACAAAGATACCAAAACTGAGCACAAAAAGTGCATAACAGGGATTATCATTAACAAATTATGTGTTCAATATTTTTTTTGATAAATTTCTTTTTCTTTATTGCAGTTGACACTATCAAAGTAACATTTATACTAAAAAATAGTATGCATGGATCTCGAGATGATTCAACATTCGTAATAAGAGGGACTAGAATGCTATTTACTTTTCCCTGTAAAACAAGATTAAATATGTAATTTTTATATTTTTGCTCTTCTTATCTTCTGTAAATAAGAGAACTATATGATGTATAAGGGACTTTTGGATCTCCCACCCCTTAACACATTTTCTTTATGAAATAAAATGAGTCATCGGCCCCGGGAACACCCCATTCGCCCCCAACAGGAAAAGTTTTCCTCTCCTCCTCCTCTCTCTCTCTCTCTGCCTCCCCAATTATATCTAATTTGATGAAAGGTAGAAAAACAATCAAAGATTTGGGAACTATAACGGTGAAAAATCATATATATAGCGCGCATATATATATATATATATCCAACATATTAGTGTGCTCATTAATTATAAATAGTTACATACTACGATGAATTTGAAGTCTCTCCAAACATGAATATTTACTTTTTATCTTATTATTTTTCTCCACTTTGACAAGTAAAGATACAAAAATGGCCATTTGTAATTGAAAATTGAAAGTGGATGGTACAACTTCTTGATAGTTTAAACAACTTCTCTTTGAAACTCAATATTAAACTATATGTTCACATTGCTTAGATCATATAAGACATTAGTGTTACAACTATAGAAGAGACTCTCACTATTAGTTATAAAAGTATATGATAAGTTGCTCACAATAATATCTCAGACTAAGGGTCTGTTTGGGGCAGTTGCAGCTTATTGAATAATCTGTTAATAAGCTGATTAAAAACAATCTGCTGATAAGTTAGGTGTGATGACTATTACAAATTTTTATTTTTTTGGTAAAGTCAGACCGTTGCCAGAAAGTTCCCATCACATCTATCTAGGTGCGGTGGTGTGAAAATGTTGTTTTTGGTGTTTTGAGAACGCATAAGTTGCCAAAACGCAGTTTACCCAAACAGGTCGAGTGCCTTTTCAAAACACCACCACACCAAATAAGCTGCCCCAACGGACCCTAAATAGCAATAGCTTGACTTCTATTTATTTGTTGAAGAACATTGCACATTGATCCCAACAAAAGTACATGCTGCTCAAGCATCACTACATGAATAGTTTGCTCAAATGTAGTGCTCTATAACTCATCAAGATGAAAAAAAAAATCATATTTTATAGAAATGTTTATATATTTTTTAAAAGCTACAAATATGTCAAATTTTAGCTTAAGAGAATAATAATTTTAGTATATTTTGTATTGAAAGAAAATTAAATGCATAATTTACATAGAAATCCAATATTTTTATATAAATAAATCATGTTAATTACTCTCATTAACCTAATAGAAGATATTATATAATACAATATTAAATCAAAGTACTTGATAAGAGATTTTTTAATTAATTTTTTTTTAAATAGGATTTTATCATAATGAAAAATAAATTCAGCCTTGAATTAATAGTAAATCAATTGCATTCATTCAATAAAATCATCACATATAGTTATATTTAGAGTTTTTTTTTTCACTGTCTTCTTATGTTTAATTAAAGATAAGGAAATACAAAAAATAAAATATTAAAAGTTTAAAATATAATGAAATCCTTATTTTCACTAAATTTTAAAAATCATCGTAACAATGTCATTGGTGAATGATGTGTTGAGCCACACC